GGTTGGGGGCCCGTGCAGGCCTGTTGGTGCTATCCAATCAAGCGATGTCTAAAGACTCTTCGCAAGAAATGTACAAATAAAGCTAGAATTGAGGCTTCCATTGCAGAGGCAAGCATTCGGGAGGAGGTTGCAAACTTCACGACATCCTACTACAAGCCGAACCTTCCTAGCAAGCATAATCCACCCCCTCGTTACAATGCTGGCGAAGTTGAATCGACCCTCAGCCTTTTCAAATGCCAACTAGGCAGCGCAAGTGGATCGACCCCCAAGAGATTGGATCCAGAAGAGTGGCGCAGAATCACGCTATATGTGTTCACCAACCTTGTTGAGGTTGCGCCATTCATTAAGTAAGTTCTCAACGAACTTGTTTCAATACGACGTCACTATTCTGTATCGAACCCCATTGATTCTCTTTGGTACAGGGAATTTGTTCGTCAAGAGTGGCATCAATCAAGGGATCCTACCCCACATGAACATGATACCCTTCTTTCAGAGGGTGTGGGAGCTGGGAGGCCTGATTTCATTTCTTGGTTCAAACAAAAGGTCGTATGTTCATCGATATTCCTTAGTAGCTCGTACGTTCCAATAGTATAACGATGTATCATGCTTGAGCTTGCAAGCGCAAACCAATGTGTCCATGAGTGACGAGTTGAGATAGGTTGCAAACGGCTTCAAGTTAAGGGTGAACTCATATACCGGTTATGACGTGAACGAATATCGCTTCCACACGTCAAGACACGAGCAGACTCGGCCCGGTCGGAAAACCACCAATAGCCAAGTTTTTACACCGGGCACTAATAGCGTCGAATACTACGGAATAATTGAGGAGATCTATGAACTTGAATATGAGGGTCGGGTACCTCTTACTCCTGTCATATTCAAGTGCCATTGGTTTGATCCTGGACGAACGAGACGGACCCCTCATCTTGGGCTAGTCGAGATTAGGCATGATTCCATCTATAAAGGAAAAGATGTCTATATTGTGGCTCAACAGGCCGTGCAGGTGTATCATACGCCATACGCGTGCCAAGACAAAGACCATCTTAAGGGTTGGTCTATTGTGCACCAGGTATCTTCGCATGGTAAACTACCTGTTCCAAACGATGAAGATTACACCTTCGACACAAACACATATGATGGAGAGTTCTATCAAGCAGATGGGCTACAAGGGAGCTTTGAGATAGTCTTACCCGGTGTGACGACCGCCATGGAAGTAGACAATGAAATGGTTGATGATGAGGACCCTAGAAATGTAGTGCTAAATCCGAAGGACATTCAAATGCTTGAGCGATTCCATTTAGGCAAAGACAATGAAGAAGACACAGAACCTTCGGATAGTGTTGCCCATTTGGACAATTTTGACAGTGATGATGAGACCTATGATCCCAATCATGAAGATTATTCCTAAACCATGTAATACTATGTTTTTTATTAAATTTTGTTATGTTTATTCATTTTGTACTATTTGACATGTATGTACTAACGCTTGTTGTTCATTCTTTGTACATTGCAGGTGACAAAACAAAGATGGTGGGCAACCGTTCACCGAGGCAGGTGCTCTCGGTGTACAAGAGGCTATGCCCTCCTGATGGAGGTGAGGGGACGTCTTCGCCCCTAGTGGCGAGAGCAGGCCCGGGTCGCCCCAGCACGGGGAGGGGGAGGGGGAGGGGCCGGGGTCGCCCTAGGAGGGACCCGCCTCCTCCCCTGGCTCTCGACCAGCCGGAGGACCCGTCTCCTATCCCGGAGGACCATGTGGCGGCCACGAGCATGACCACAGACACTCCATCGGGGGACGAGGGGACTCAGCAGACGGAGGACAGTTCTGCTCAGTCGGCTCCCTACCTGCGAGGTCCCACAAGCCTTCCTCCGGTTCCGCTTCCTGACCGACGCCCACTGTTTCGTCCTGTGGGAAGAAGGTAAGTAACTATGGATGTTATCACTAGTACTTCATATGATACGTTGAAAATCAAAAGAGAAACTGATAATTTTTCTTAATCACTTATGCAGGGGCTGGCTAGTTCTATCGGGTGCTCTTGACCCCCCACGCACCCCCGCTACCGTCCTGGGATGTCTGTGCAGGAAACACTTCCCCGGCCTTGTGGACTTGAAAGAGGGGAGGTGGGAGCCGGCCTGGTTGTGGGACTGGTACAAGCTCGGCTCGGATGACGAGCAGGAAAACAAGCAGGAGCGGGTTTTGGCAGACTTTTGGGTAAGTGTCTCACAACATAGCTCAATACATCTCCTCCATTGGTTAAGTCTTTTACTGAAATAATGAACGGATACATCGTGTTTGTATGTAGAGGTACTTCAAGGCCGAAGAAGGTCGAGAGACCCTGGCGGATCAGACGCCACACAGAGCCTGTAAGAAGTACGTTGGCGACATGATTCATGAGGCGCGACTCCAGGCCCATGTCGACTACTACAGGTCCATCAAGAAAGAGCCCCTCAACAAAACCGGCGCAAGAAAGGTGGCGCTGACCAAGGAGCAGTACCTTCAGGTAGGTGAATAATATTGATTCGTTTTGAGATTTAGTAGGTCCAGAATTCATCTTCTTATTTGTCAAACACTTGATGATGTGTAGGTGCCAGCCTCGTGGTGCATGTCGCATAGATCGGCATGGTCGAGGATCGTGGACAGGTACCTTGACCCGGCGTACATCGCAAAGCACGAGCAAGGCAAGCGCAAGCGGGCACTGAGGACCGGTCCAACTCGCCACCAAGGCAGCCGCAACCTCCCCGCATTCAAGCGGGCACTTGTATGAGATGTCATTTATCTATTCTAACGCTCAATTTTGCCTGATTTCTAATCATCTTGTTGTCTTTCTCGCAGGAGGTGGCACGGCCGGACATGCCGGTGTCGGAGTTTGGGGCATGGGCTGTGTCCCACATGGGCCCGGTGAAATCTGGTGTCGTCTTCAACCCAGATGCCACTACCCAGGCTTACTCTGACCCAAGCGTCCACGCTAAGGTCAGAGACTACGCGGAGGCAGTTAGGGCGTTCCGTGGCTCAGATCACAATCTGAGCACTCAGCCCCTTGAGACAGAGGTGATCGTGAGGCTGGGGCAAGGCAGGAAGCAAGGGCGGTTGTGGATTGCAGACAGCGCCGACTCCTCGAGCTCTGCACCCTCTCTCTCCGACGTGAGGGTACGGAGCACGGCCAGAAGCCTTCCCATACATGCACGGCCTACTCCAACACTGTCGCGGGTCGACGAACTTCAGGTAATTCCGGTTTCACTCGTCATACATTGAACGTTACACACATTGATCAGATTTGCAATACTGAAACATGTGATTGAAACACTACAGGCCGAGCTGGCAGAGACAAGGGAGACGCAAGCGCACTTGACCGCAGAGCTGGAGGCCACGAAGAAGCAGATCGCGGACATGTATCAGATCATGCAAACCATCGGGCAAGCATCGGGTGTCCAAGTGCAGTTGCCAGCTCTAGCTCCGGTTCAACACTTCACTCCTGTGAGTATGAAAGTTTAATGCGTTCGTGCCGTTAGGATTGTTGGCTTTCATGCCATTGTGATTTTCGGCCTACGTGCCATTGGGATTGTCGGCCTTCGTGCCGTTGTGATTGTCGGCCTTCGTGCCGTTGTTTCTTGCAGGTTGGAAACCTCCCCGTGCAGGGGAGGTGCTGCCCAAATTTTCAATTTTGAGTCTAACACATGCAATCTCTTCTCTTTTGTGCAGCCTCCGTCGGCGGGTTCAAACCATCCCGCTACCGTGTCACTGGCGGCTGATCGCGTCAACCCTTCACCGTAGTTCGGTCCTCCACCGCAGTCCAGGGGGCCACACCTGCAGTCTCCGTCGCCGCAGTAGGGATATAAACTTTGTGATGTTGAACTTGTAATAATAAACTTGTGATGTTGAACTTTGGTGCATTTGTGATGGATTTTCGATGATGGATTTATTAAATATGCGTGTGCTTGTTATATATAATGCATGTTGGTGATATAGATGTGATGATTGATGTGTGTGTATCTATATATATATATATATATATATATTGTCTGTTACAATGGAATGTAAAAAAAATTGCAATTCTCGGGGTCTTTGCCGAGTGCCATGGGCAAGGCACTCGGCAAAGATTTTTCAAAAAAAAATATAAAATTTCTTTGCTGAGTGCCTTGCCGAGGCACTCGGCAAAGTATTTTTTTTAAAAAAAAATTCAGAAATTCTTTGCCGACTGCCTAAACAGGGGCACTCGGCAAAGAAATTATTTTAAAAAAAATAAATAAAAACTTTGCCGAGTGCCTGGGCAGGGGCACTCGGCAAAGTAATTTAAAAAAAATAAATAAAAACTTTGCCTAGTGCCTGGGCAGGGGCACTCGGCAAAGTACTTTTTAAAAAAAATAAAAAAAAAACTTTGCCGAGTGCCTGGGCTGGGGTACTCGGCAAAGTAATTTTTTTTAAAAAAAAATTTGCCGAGTGCTGGGTCGGGCACTCGGTAAAATAACCGTTAACGGCCGGCGCCGCAACGGCCAAAAATATTTTGCCGAGTGCCGCCCTAAGCACTCGGCAAAATATTTTTTTATTTTGCCGAGTGCCCGGATAAAAAGCACTCGGCAAAGACCCTTTGCCGAGAAAAATTTTGCCGAGTGCTACACTCGGCAAAGCCTTTGCCGAGTGCAAAGGGCTCACTCCGCAAAGCCGTGGCCTCCAGTAGTGGAGGCCCCCACCAAGTAAGTGACTTAACAAACTCGCTATGCTCTTCATCTATATCATACAACACAAAGTCCCACATATCATCAATCGAAGGCTGTGGAAAAGTAGCACGACAATAATTCCAAACTTCCCCGGAAACATAAACACCATCTCTCATCATTACTAGAGGAGTCACATCCGGCACAGGCCCCCAGAAGGCAACCTAGCAGGACAAGTTTATATTAATTCCAAAAGACGAAGGCATTACAAAAACTAACTTTCTCTTTACAACACCAGGCTAGGTGCAAAAGCCTAACATTTACACTACTCCTAAAAGATCTAGCTTGGCCTAGGGGTTAACCTCTGGAGGGGCCCGAGCAGGTGCAGGTTCCTCTAGCTTCGAGGTATCTACGGTAGGATCCTTCGGCTTCTGCACCTCTACAGTACTCTCCATAGAATTCTTGGCCTCCTCGGTAGCTCCCTTCCCAGACTTCCGAGGGCCGACATCTTGTGTCACGCAGGCACTCTCCGCATCCTTCAAATCCTACGCACAACGTGCCAAGTCAGAACTAGAAAAATACATGTAATAACAAACAAGATGCTAAGTAAAGAAGAAAAACCTCAGCCCGACGAGCCTCTGCTAGGGCACGAGCTTCTTGCTGCCCAAATTTGCACCAGAAATAATTAATGAAGCGGTGAATCCCATTAGAGACTACCGGAAACCGACACTTTGCCGAGAGCCGGAGGCTTTGCCGAGTGTATTTTATCGGGCACTCGGCAAAGACGGTCTTTGCCGAGTGTCAAATAAAATACACTCGGCAAAAAAAAATACTCGACAAAATGCGTCTTTGTCGAGTGACTTTTTCTGGCACTCGGCAAAGATGTATTTTGCCGAGTGCTATTTTTCGGCACACGGCAAAATGCGTCTTTGCCGAGTGCCTTTTTCTGGCACTCGATAAAGATGTATTTTGCCGAGTGCCTTTGTTTTGGCACTCGGCAAAGAGACATTTTGCCGTGTGTATTTTTTTGGCCCTCGGCAAATCAGTTTTTCAAAGCAATTTTTGAGGCCCTAAATGAATTCAAATGAAAAACTTTTCAACTACAAAGTTGTATAACTTTTCAAGATCTACAAAGTTTATTTTGGTTATTTCTTCATTTGACAAAGCGACAATAACGTTGTTCATAAAATCTACATCTCATATCTCTAATATTAGTTTCATGAAAGTAGAAGAGAGATATATAAGATTTGTGAACAATGTTACTACCACTATGTCGGATGAACAAATGACCAAAATAAACTTTGTAGATCTTGAGAAGTTATGAAATTTTGTAGTTGGCAACATTTTGATTTGAAATCATCTTGTCATGCAAAAACGATGTTTTAATTTGAAAATTTTAAAATTTGAATTTTTCAAAAGACCTCGGATGGAAAAACTTCCTAAATGAAAATTGTAGATCTCCAAAAGTTATGAAACTACGTAGTTGACAACTTTTTGATTTGTAATCATCTTATCATGCAAAACTACGTTTGAATCTCTCAAATTTGAAATTCAAATTTTTCAAATGATCTTGGATGGAAAAACTTCCTAAATGAAAATTGTAGATCTCGAAAAGTTATGAAACTTTGTAGTTGACCACTTTTTTATGTGAATTCGTTTAGGGCCTCAAACAAGCAATTTACTCTTGGTTTAGTATAATATATGAGGATAGATAACGGAATCTTAGACACAAGTGACAGTGTAGTGCAGTGGTAGAGCAGCAGACACGGTCGTGAGTTCGAATCCCGCTGGCCGCGTTAGCCACGAATTTAGCGCAAAAAATGCACCGACTTCGATGAAGACGGGCGGGCGCTGGCTGGTGGCTGCCTCCCCCGAAAAAAAAAAATTTGAAAATTTTTGCTATTATTTTTGGGTTTTTTCGCATTTTCATTTTGCCGAGTGTAAATTTTTGCCGAGTGCTTTTTCGGCACTCGGAAAAGGCTTTGCCGAGTGCCCGACAAAAAACACACGGCAAATAGCTGTTTGCTAACAAAAAGATGCCGTTTGTTGTATGCCGAATGTTACACTCGGCAAAGCAGTTGCCGAGTGTTTTTGGGCCATTGCCGAGTGCCCCTGGCACTCGGCGAAACGACTGTATCCCGTAGTGAGATAGCCTTTGACGCCTCACCAAGCTCCACTGGGCTCTTGTACTCCTTTTTATGCCTCAGCTCAGCAACATGTTCACACCCTGCCTTCGACAGAGTCCTGGCAAGGTTGGTCGCGCTAGATAGCGCAGCAAAATCCCCAACCTTGCCGACAAAGTTGGGAAGTTTGGAGAGGTTGGAGCTGATCCACGAGAAGATGTTCACAGGGTAACATTAGCCGGGAGGGGTGGTGTGACTCCCCCAAAGTCAGCTAGCGTGGAGGTGTACGCTTCCAAGGTCGCTAGGCCCAATGTCCTCGCCTCATCGAGTTGCATTTTCAGCAACTCAACCTCCACGAGCAGTGCCGCGCTTGATGTCTTCTCCGCATCCACCTCCACCTCCTTGCGGAGGCCTTCAGCAATATCGTTGGCTTTCTGAGCCCTCTCCAAGGCTAGCTCTTTAGCAGCCTCCAACCCAACCAAGTCCTTCTCCAAAGAGTCAGCCTTAGCTTTCATCTCGTTGAAACCCTTCGCGGTCACTCAAAGATCTTCAATTTTCACCTCGAGCTGTTTCTTTCTTCTCAACCTCCAAACTATCTAACTTCTTTTGGAGACCTTTAATTGCCTCGTCGCGCTTGATAACCTCTAAAGATGCCCACTCCTTCAGTGCCTCCGCCATATGATGACTCTGCAGAAGCGTACCCTTAAGCAACAAGTGACAAACAAAAGTAAAGCGAAGACCGTGCATAGCTTACCACACATTGTTGCTCAAGGTTAAGCTGCAGCAGCTGGTAGAAATCAACACCCTTGGAGTAATGACGAGTGCGATCTGCAGAAAACCAAATCATAAGCAGGGTAAGACAAAAAAAGAGCGGAAGACAGAGAAGGTATAAACAACCTCCTAAAGCATTGTAAAGTTGGCTAAGGGCCTCCGCCCACCCACTTAGACTGTCAGATCAAGTGCCTAGAAAAAACAAACTCACGTTAACAATCAAAGAACGACGAAGAGAGCAAAACACATCTAATGATCACTCAAAACAAATGACCTTCACCGCCGGCCTGCAGAGGCACCGAAGACCTACCGTGCTCACGACGCCCCAGTGCATCAGCCAAATCACCCAAACCAACAAAAGAAAGGCCATGATCGGCCGCAGAGGGACGATCATCAACAGTGGCCTCAAGAACCAACTGACCCATGCCAGAAGGGTTTTCAGCAATGTTCGCACCTACGCAACAAGGACCGTCGTCAGAAAAGAACGAAAGAGAAATCTGCAAAAGAAACAGAGGATAACAAAATCAGACCCAAACTCAGAATGCCCTGAGCGGCATCCACAATTTTAGTGTGCTCCGCACGCAGAGGCTCCACATGCCGCGCCCGGTCCTCCAACTCAGCTTCAGACTCCTCAAGAAGAGAAGCCTTCACAGACCGCGCGCGCCTCAGAGACACAGATTCATCCTTGTCAGACGCAACAGCTTCGCCCACGTCAGCAGCTTCATCTTCAAAGCTGGACGCACCTGCGCCAGGGCCCAAGACGGAAGGCATAGGCTCCACGTCAGGAGTGTTGGTAGCACCACCGCCACTCTGCCTCTAGGGGGTAGAATGCATCAAGTCAACATCTTTGCTAGTGGCGGAAGCCTCAGTCTCCCCAGCCTCCGCCCCCGCTTGCGGAGCAGCCACCCCAGCATCTGAATCCTCCACCTCTTCTTCAGCAGAACTAGCGGAAGCAGCTTTAGAAACAGCCGCTACCTTCCGTCCTTTGTTGAGTGTCTTCGCAGCACCGGCAGATTTTCTCTTTTTCGACTCATCACGGGCAGTCATGTTTTTTGCTGCAGCCTTCCTAGCCATCTCTTCAACGGACTTTAAGACCTTCGGAGGAACCTTACGGTCTTCATGATGTATTCCCAATTCTTTGAAGACCCGGTTGAGGCAAGGCATGGTGCCTGCGATTGCCGTCCGAGCGAGATACTCGCGATCCGAGATTTCGCCAAGTATCTAAGAGGCAGCAGCCTCCGCATGAGCGACAAAATCATCTTTGCTCTCTTCAGCATCGTGTTGTATTTCGAAACGCGAAAAGTACACCCCTTCCTCGTCGCCAAAGATTGGCAACCTCACCTTTTTTAATTTCATCTCAGGCCTGTTTTTGCCCAGGGGCTAGAACACTACCGGACAGAGCATCTTTACCGAGGGTCTGAGGATTTGCCGAGGGCAAATGCTCGGGCACTCGGCAAAGAGTCTTAAGATCAGCCCTTGGCAAAGACTCTTTGCTGAGCGCCAGACCCTCGGCAAAGACAAACATATGGCAACGATAATTCTTTGCCGAGGGCTCCCTCGGCAACACCGCCTGACACGACGTCCATCCCCTGCCGTCAATCTTTGGCGAGGGCATTACCGTTAGGCCCTCGGTAAAGACTTTTTAACCGTTTTTGAAATTTTTTTTTAAAAAATTCTTTGCCGAGTGCCCCTGTCCCAGCTTTCGGCAAAGCGATCTTTTTTAGAGTGCCAAGGCGGCACTTTCGGCAAATTTTTAATTTTTTGTTTTTTTTCCCCAAATTTTTTTGTTGGGCCCAAATTTTATTTACATTGTTTACAACTTCATGTTCAAATTTGGTGCTTTTCTAGTTTTTTTATATTTGGTTGATTAATTTGATTATGTTGAATTTTTATAAACATTCTTCAAATTTTACCGCCTACACATGCATGGAATATTGACACCTTGACAAGTTTTCATGATTTTTGGACTTCGTTGGACTTTATATATGAACTTTAAAACACTTTCTCCGCAAGTGGCTCGAGCCATGTTACGTGAAGAACTGTGCGATAATTTGATGCGAGTTCGTGGATAGAGACTCAACATACACCAAATACCTTGAATAACATTTTTCGAAGCACTACATTACAATATTTCATGCACTTACAGTTCAAATTTGAATTATATATAAAAATTCAACATAATCAAATTAATCAACCAAATATAACAAAAAAACTAGAAAAAGCACAAAAATTGAACATGAAGTTGAAAACAATGTAGGCGGGCCCAACAAAAAATTTGGGGTCAAAAAAACAAAAAAAAATGAAAATTTGCCGAGTGCCAGCTTGGCACTTGGCAAAGACAGTCTTTGCCGAGTGCTGGGACAGGGGCACTCGGCAAAAAAAAATTTTAAAAAAAATAAAAACATCTTTGCCGAGGGCCCTGGATCTTGGGCTTCGGCAAAGGCCCAAAACCTAAAAAACCGACGTCGGCCCAAAATCCCCAAAATTCCTCTTTTTCCCTCCGGCCTGCGCCCGCGCTTGGTTCTTTACCCCTGCCGCTGCTCACCTCGCCGCCCGCCCGCCACGCCGCTGGCCGCCCCGCCGCCCCGCCTACGCGCCGCCCCTCCCCCGACCTCAGCTCCCAACGGCGGCCGCCCCGCACCCCACGCCGGCCCCCCTCTTCCAACACAGCCACCACCGCCGGTGGCCTCAGTAAGCTGCGCCCGCCGCCCGGCTCCCACCCACCGGGCGCCCGCCCCATGCCGCCGGCCTCCTCCCCCGCCACGCCACCACCACCACCCCTCATACCCGGCCGCCCTGGCTCCACCGGCGGCCGCCCGATCGTGTTGTGATCTTCACAAGGTGAGGAGATAATGCATTTTCCTAGAAGACAAATAGGTGTATAAATTTCAGTTCTCATGCATAGATTTAGGAGTTAGAACTGTCACTGTCAGGCCCTGTAATAAACGATTACTGTAAAAAAATAGCAAAGTTTACTGTGCCAAGTCACTAGTAGAGAAGTGTAAACTTGTTACAGGATAGCATTATAAATTTATACCAGGAACAGTTTAACCCTTAAAACTTGAATCAAAGATGAAAAGGGGAATATTTTACCTCCATACTGAGCTTATTTGTTTGCAAGCGGTCGTTGGCAAGGGACAAGGTTTGTTCCTCCAGGGCACTGACTTCAGACTGCAATGACCCTAACATTGTGAAATCACCATTTAGGTCGACCTTCAGTCTTCTGTTCTCAATCTCAACAGCATTTAGTTTGTCCTTTAGCTCATCTACATACGAATTTCTTTGTATGATTTCTTCCTTCAGAACCTCCTTCTGTACCATGGCACTTATCTCAAAACTCTCGCATGTTATGATGAGCTCAAGGACCTTTTCCTTGAACAGAGCTGCATTCATGATAGCCATTTGCATGTTAATAAAAATGGGCTGATAGTTTTCTAGATCTGATAAATAAATGGGGCCTTATTGAGCTTAAAAACTCAAATAGGTCTTATACTTGGACAAATAACCAAGACCAGCCTATTTTGCCAGCCTTGGATAAGATTTTTTGTACTGTTAACTTTCAACAAAAAATCCCACTAGCCTTTATGACAGCCAAAGCTAGGGTAGGAAGTGACCATGTTCCTTTGGTTTTGAACCTTGGAGTGACTGAATCCAAAAAATCAAGTTTGTTCACATTTGAGAAATGGTGGCTTGAGCAACCAGATTTCAAAAACCTAGTTAAAAATGTGTGCTCCTTGTGCCTATGATGATCCTATGGACATCTTGCAGTTCAAAATCAGACTACATAGGAAAAATATTAAAGGTTGGGCCATCAATATCAATGTCAATATTAGGAAACAAAAACTGGAACTCCTTAAGGAGTTTGATATATCAGGAAGAGAGATGGCTAGAGTTAAGAGAGAAAGAGAGGATGAAGACCATTGATGGTTAGTTAGATCCCATTTGGAGGATGGAGGAGATGAAAGCTAAGCAAAGATCTAGAGATAGGAATATTAGAGAGGGAGATAAGAATACCGTCTACTTTCAGGTTGTAGCTAATTAACGCAATAGGAAGAAGAGGATCATAGGCCTGGAAGGCCCAGATGGCTGGATTGAAGATAATGACAATATGTTGGACCATGCAGTAGATTTTTACAAATCTCTGTTTGGGCAGGAAGAGGATACTGGTGTTAGATTAGATGATGATTTTTGGGGGGAGGAAGAAAAGGACTACTGAGGTTGATTTCACAGAATGAAGCTAAGGAGGCTGTTTTTGGCTCTTGTGCAGAAAGGGCCCCTGTCCCATATGGTTTTTCTTTTCTCTTTTACGAGACCTTTTGGGAAGTGATAAAAAAGGAGCTGATGCAGCTGGTTAACAGCTTTAGTAGAGAGCATCTAAATTTGGATAGGCTTAACTATGCCATGATTGCCCTTATACCAAAAGAATCAGAGGCCAAAACTCTTAAGAAATTTAGACCTATTAGTTTGATTAATTGTAGCTTTAAGATTTTTAGATTTTTGCTAAAATGCTTAATAATAGGTTGGTGGGGGTAGTTGATAGATTGATAGCTTCAAACCAAACAGTCTTTATTAAAGGCAGATATATCTTCGAGAGTGTGGTAGCTACACATGAAATTATTCATGAGGTCCATAATAATAAAGAAGAGAGGGTCATGCTTAAGCTTGACTATGAGAAGGCCTATGATAGGTTAATTGGCACTTTCTAGTGGATATGCTTAGATCTAGAGGGCATCATCCTGTAGCATTTCATTTGACTCCTGAAAATCAGCATTGCCAACTTCCTCTTGTTCCACTTCCATATTTACATGACAATCTTGGGTTTTCCTGCTAGAATTCAGAAGGTTGGTATCTCTTCGCCCTGGATTTTCTTTTCCTGTTGCAGTTTGCACAATAGATCCACCATAAACACTCATAGTTGTACTTAGTTCTTTGCCAAGGTACTTGTTCTCGATTTCTATGTCTCCAAGCCTCGTGTTCATCATCTTGATCTCCTGATAAAGCTCACTGCCGGCTGTTTGCAAACAGCCAAAGTTATTATGCAAAGACTTCAGCTGCAATGTCCTCTCTTCGTGAAGGCTTCTAAAAATCACACTAAGGATATCTTTGCTGACAGCTTCAGTAACAAGATTGCTGAAATCATGTTCAAACATCTTCTGTTTCTCAATGGAGTCATTTAGTTCATTTGATAGAAAAGAGTTCGATTGTAATAGCTTGGTGATCTCGCTTTGCAATGACCTCCTAGACTCTTGCAGTTCCGAGAGCCTTACAACTAAGAACTTCGCCTCAGCCTTTAGCTCATCCACTTTGTGGTTACGAGCCTCCACCTCTTCCAAGAATTCATCACTTATCTTCATAAGTTCCTCCTTTTCTCTCTGCAGCTGGAGCAGTTCCTCATTCTTTATCTGCTGATCTTGCCTCAAGACATTCCGCTCTGGCCTTAAGTCAGCAACCTCGTGCCCGAAATGCTCCAGAAGTGTAACAACAAGTGACTTCTCAACAAGCTCATTCTGCTTCACATCCTGGGCATCGGATATGTTATTCAGCAGGCAGCTGATCTCATTTAAGATGAGCTGCACAATGATTTCTAGCTTCATTTGGTCTAAGGATTCATACTTCTGATCTAGATGCAATACTCTCACTACTGAATCAATCCCTTCAGTTAGTTTCTGATTATGCTGTGATAAGCTGTACATTTTCCCCTCCTGGACCTTGCATATTTCTTTATTCTTTTGCAGTTGTGCTGCAATTTCAGAATTTACTTCCACCATGTCATTCAAACACTGCTGCAAGACAAATATCTCTATCTGAGCTTTGACAATCTTGAGCTCCTCCTCTCCAAGCTGCACCTCTCTGTTCCTACCCTCTTCTATTAGTAGGCTAATCTTTTTCTGTAGAGCATCGAATCTAGTGTTGCTTGACTGTGTACAATCTTCATGCTCCTTCCTCTCAAGCCTTATCTGTTCCTGTATCTTGATCACTTCATCAAGCACCAAGTCCTTCTCCTTCTGCAGATCTGAGTGTCGCCTTCCTAGTTCTTTGTATTGCCTTTCCAAATTCAGCAGAGTTACAGTGATGCCCTCAACCTAAAATAGGAATGTAATTACTGAGAAGGTGGACCAAACCTTTGTTATGAGAGCAGGAAAATAGTATCTTTTTAGCCTACTAAAAGGCTTTGTTGCTGTTAGGAAAATAGTAATTTTTGAGTCATACCTGGTGGACAAGAGTTATCTTCTCAGATTGAAGCATAGAATTCTGATTTTGGAGTGCCTCTGAAGATTCTTTCAGTTCTTTCAACTTCATCCTTAAACTCTCAACTACATAACTGCAGCTACTCGCATACCATTTCTGAAAAAAGAAAAATTGATCGGCGTACAAGAGATCTACCTGGCACCTGCAAAAATAGTACACTGCTGAGAAAATGGTTTTCTACCACTTACCTTACCTAGCTACTCCTATACAGAGTACAAAACATACATAGCAAGCATATCCATGTAACAAAATGTGCTTTATTGGCACAGTGAGGCACATTTTGATGGAGCATAAAAATAATCCAAGGAATAAGCATAAACACATCTAAGCAGTTAATATAAAACTTCCTTCCTGACATTTGCAACATGGAGTAGTAGAGTATACTACTGTCATGCTGATGCCTGAGCTAGCTGTGCAATGGAAAGAAATTTAATGGCGTTGGAAAATGCGACTTTTTTCCCTGCAGAAGCAAAAGGAGGCCTTGGCTGGCAAGCTCGCGCTGCGGCCCAGGCAAGTGGAGGTCTGGTTCCAGAACCGCAGGGCTAGGTACGTAGTACAGTATGCTCTTCCTTCCTGATGCTTTGCATATGTATACATACATCGATCTGAAATATACATCTCAAATAATTTACCATCCATTGGTAAACGGCTGCCTAGCTACGTAGTATGTTTTACCTTTGGTAAACTATTGTACGCATGATATGCTTGGACCTCTATAGGAATTTCTCCCTTGTTTAAACCTCTCTATCCATTTCTAAGGTGTGCGGCAATTGTAAAATAAGCTAAGCTTTATATCGATACAGAGGTTTGGTTTGGTTTTGGCTATAAGGATGGCCACCCTAGTGATGGTTAACTTTCTGTTTCTGCATAGTGCTAATATTCATGTACTTCATGCATATCACAGGTCCTATCTTTTATGACCTCATAGTCTGTGCTGCTACGAAAAACGTAATCGTTAGGAACTATATCTCTTTCATGTTCTCATTAACTATTAAAATGATTAAAAAATATAAATATCATTACTAGAACCACATATTTCACTTGGAAATAGAATAATATGTCTGCAAATCGAAACAAGTTTTGTCAGAATGTTGGAAACACTAACACTGGTGTTATTACAGAAAGACACTGAGATAGATCATGTCTCGATCCCACCAATACCCTGCTTTGCATAAAAAAAAGCAACAGGTGGGTATTACATGTAGAAAAGAAAACCTCAATTATCACAAATCATGGGCTTATCCGACTCTGCTCGCAAAAAAAATTACGAAAACTGGCCACAATCTACAGCTGTTATGGACTTCTGCTGGACCAGGCTGGTAGAAACAGTTTTCATCAGTTTTCCGTGAATGTCAACCGAAATTCTTAACTCTGACTCACGACCATGCTCCAACGTGTGGTTGCTAGATTGTTCTACCCATTAGGAAATTTTGTGCTTCACAGCCATCAGGTCGTGTAAAGCTGTCTTCACTACCCTCTCTCATATGATGATCTGAGCTGCTCATATCTGCTTCCTGCATGCCTCCTCTTCCCACTAGACAATTTCATCAACTTCTCGACTCTAGCCATTTCCTACCTTGATATAAGCGGACATCTGCTCGCTTGAGATTTATGTGGCTGATTGAGCTGCTGCTACAGCTGCACAGCCCATCGGCTGCTATCTCAGAGCTGCAGCTGCAGACTACTGTATTTGCCGCTGTAGGAATGGCTACACTGTTGTTTGGGATGCAGGAACTGTTGGCTGGCTGGCTGCTACATATAATAGATAGTTTGAATAGATGAACGAAAGGTTCAAATTGACTACGATATCCCTGTTTTTTCCCTATCCGCGTCCTTTTTGTGCTAAGGCACTGTGAGTGCTACTGTGCTCCTGCTGCTAGTGCGAGTGCTACAGCTGTTATGGTGCATCCGTCCGATGCCGAAGCATGGACGTACTTTAATGACAAACATCCTGACAAAGCAGCCGAGGCTCGTAATGTACGTGTCACGCTGGCAACAGATGGGTTCAATCCTTATGGACAGTTGTTTGCCCCATACACATGTTGGCCCGTGTTTGTTATCCCCCTGAATCTCCCCCCGGCATCTCCTTTCAACGGCATAACGTCTTCTTGTCGTTGATAATTCCTGGACACCCGGGGAGTAATATGGGTGTGTACATGGAGCCTATGATTGATGAATTGATCGACGCTTGGGAGAAGGGGGTATGGACATACGACCGAGCTACAAAATCATCCTTCAAGATGCATGTTTGGTACCACTACTCCCTGCATGACTTCCTGGCGTATGGGTTATTCGCCGCCTGGTGTGTCCACGGGAAGTTCCCATGCCCAATATGCAAGGAAGCTGTGAGGTTCATTTGGTTGAAGAAGGGTGGCAAGTATTCGTCGTTTGACATGCATTGTCAATTCCTCCCTTCTAACCATCCATTCAGACAAGACATCAAGAACTTTACGAAAGGTGTTGTAGTGATAGACCCTAAACCGCGCATGAAGAGTGGTGCTGAGGTGCGAGCTCAGATAGATGCTCTCATGCCCAATGAAGGAGGTGGTTTTGTGGGATATGGTGAGGAACATATGTGGACTCATAAGTCCGGCTTGACGAGGCTCCCCTATTTCGATGACCTTCTTCTGCCACATAACATTGATGTAATGCACACCGAAAAGAATATCACCGAGGCACTTTGGGGAACTCTCATAAACACTGACAAGTCTAAGGACAACGTTAAGGCTAGAGTGGACCTAGCGACGTTGTGTGATAGACCGAAGCAAGAGATGCGGCCTCCTATTGGCCGAAACAAACAATGGAAAAGACCTAAGGTCGATTTTGTCTTGGAACCCGATCAAAGGAGGGAAGTACTAAAATGGATCAAGACGTTAATGTTCCCAGATGGATATGCAGCGAATCTAAGCAGGGGAGTGAACTTAGGCACTTTATGAGTCAACGGGATGAAGAGTCATGACTACCACATATGGATTGAGCGGCTTCTTCCGGCGATGGTCCGAGGCTATGTCCCTGACCATGTCTGGCAAGTGCTGGCAGAGTTGAGCTTTTTCTTCCATCAGCTTTGTGCCAAGGAGATATCTCGGACCGTCGCTCAGGACTTGGAAAAAGTGGCACCTGTGTTGCTCTGTAAGCTAGAGAAGATCTTTCCACCCGGCTTCTTCTTGCCCATGCAGCATCTGATTGTGCACCTCCTGTCCGAGGCACGTTTGGGGGGGCCCGTGCAAGCCCGGTGGTGCTATCCAATCAAGAGATGTCTAAAGACTCTTCGCAAGAAATGTACAAATAAAGTTAGAATTAAGGCTTCCATTGCAGAGGCAAGTCTAAGGGAGGAGGTGGCAAACTTCACAACACTATACTACAAGCCGAAACTTCCTAGCAATCATAATCCACTCCCTCGTTACAATGTTGGCGAAAATGAATTGGACCCACAGCCTGTTCCAAGGCCAACTCGGCAACGCAAGTGGATCGACCAATAAGATATTGGGAAATGAAGAGTGGCGAAGTGTCATGCTATATGTGTTGACCAACCTTCCCGAGGTGCAGCCATTCGTCAAGTAAGTTCTCAACGAACTTGTTTCAATACGCCCTAAATATTCTTCATGCAACCCCACTGATTCTCGTTTGGACAGGGAATTTGTTCCTGAGTCCTAGCATCAATCAAGGGATCCTACCTCACAGGAACATGACACCCTTCTTTCTCGGGGTGCGGGTGCAGAGAGGCCTGATTTCATTTCTTGGTTCAAACAAAAGGTAATGTCCAATTTAGCTCCCACGTTCCATATTCCAAGTTTCTCGTTCGTTCGATTAATATAACGACCTATCATGCTTGAGCTTGTAGGTCCAGACTAACTCGTCCATGAGTGAGGAGTTGAGACAGGTTGCAAGTGGCTATGACGTTAGGGTGCAGTCATTTACCGGTTATGACGTGAACGGATATCACTTCCACACAACAAGATATGAGCAGACTCGGCCCAAACGGAAAACCACAAATAGCGGAGTTTGCACGCCCGGCACTGATGGCCTCGACTATCATGGTAGAGTTGAGGAAATCTATGAACTCTCATTTCATGGTCACAAACATAAACCTGTCGTGTTCAAATGCCACTGGTTTAATCCTCGAGAAACGAGACGGACCCCTCATCTTGGGCTAGTCAAGATTCGAGAAGATTCCGTCTATCCAGGAAAAGATGTCTACATTGTGGCTCAACAGGCCGTGCAGGTGTACTATACGCGATATGCCAACCAAGACAAAGCGGATCTTAAGGGTTGGGCTATTGTGCACCAGGTGTCTCCACACGGTAAACTACCTGCCCCAAACGATGACGATTACAACTTCAACGCAAACACATATGATGGACAGTTCTATCAAGAAGATGGGCTACCAGGCACGTTTGAGATAGTCTTACCCGAAACGATCGAAATGGAAGTAGACAACGAAATGGAGGATGACGAGGTTGATGGAGATGTGGTGCAAAATGCCAAGGACATAGAAATGCTTGACCGATTAAGGCTAGTCAATGACGACGAAGACAACATAGAACCTTCAGATAGTGTTGCCCATTTGGACAATTTTGATAGTGATGACGACACCTATGATCCTAATCATGAAGATTATTCCTAATACATGTAATACTATGCTTGTTTTAGTTTGTGTTTTCTTTGTTTATTTTGAATCTATTTCTAATATATATACTAATAAGTCTTGTTCATTCTTTGTGATTGTAGGTGATGGCGAGTAGCCGTCCATGACGTGAGACGGCCTCCCTTTATGGGAGATCATGCCCTCCCGTTTCAGACGAGGGGTCGGGGTTAGGGGTAGCGTCCACAGGAGGTCAGAGAAGGAGGACCAGGGTCTGGAGGAGGAAGCAGACTCCTTCCCCGCCACCTTCAGACGAGGTGATGGAGGAGGAGCACGTGATGGCCACGCCCGAGGACGAGGTCGAGGACGAGGACGTCCAATAGAATGAGGACGAGGCGGCCGAGGATGAGACGGCCGAGGACGAGGCTGCTGAGGGCGAGGCCACCGAGGGCGACAGTTCCGCTACCCCGACTGTCTACCAGCGAGGTCCCGCGAGCCTCCCTCAGCCTCCGCTTCCTCGCAACTAGGCACTGATTCGCCCTATAGCAAAGAGGTAAGTAACTATAGATGTTATCACAACTACTTCATATGATAATGTTGGAAATCAAAAGAGGAACTGATAAATTTTCTTAATCACTTGTGCAGGGCCTGGTTGGTTTTGTCGGGTATTTCACAGACGCCCCCCGCGAGCATCCTTGGTGTTTTGTGCGAGAAATGGTACCTGGCCTTGTGAACGTGTCCGAGGACGTCAAGGGAGCCGGCCTACACGCGGGATGCAGTACCAGTTGGCCCCGACGGCAGTGTACCGCAAAGCAAGGTGAGCGGTAATCGCGTAGTTTTGGGTAAGTCTCTCTCGCACAACATTTTCATTGGGCAAGTCTTTTATTGAAATAATGAATGGATACATCGGTTTTGTATGCAGAGGTATTTCAAGCCGGAAGAAGGACTTGAGGCCGGGCGGATCGGTGCGGCCGCCACCACAGTGAGGGAAGTATCGTCACCGACATGCACCACGAGGCGCCAAGTGCAGCCCAAAGAGACTACTACGCCGTGGTGTTGAAGCGATCCATCGCAAAGCCTGATGCAAGATAGTGGAGCTGTCCCGGGCCCAGTACCTTGAGGTAGATGAAAAACATTAATAATGATTTGTTTTGAGATTAAGTCGGTTTAATTTTATCTTTTTCTATGTCAAATAATCGATGACTTGTAGGTGATTCCCTGGTGGTGCCGATCCCACTCCGTGTGCTGGGAGATGATCGTGGATAGGTGGTTGTCCAACGACTTCGCTTTCGTAACCACGCGAGGCAATGGACCCGACATCTGCTAAGGCGAGTGCTACTCACCATCAAAGCAGCCGTAGCCTCCCCGCCTACAAACAAGCATATGTAAGTGATTTCTTTTATCTTAATTGACGCCGAGTTCTGCCTTATTTCTCACCATCTTGCCGTCTTACTTGCAGGAGGCTGCACACCCGGGCGCGGAGGTCTCGGAGTTCTCTGCGTGGGCTATGTCCCACATGGGCAGGGCGTCTTCCTCTGTCTCCTTCGACCCGTCTGCCCCACGCGAGGTGTACTCCGATCCGACCGTGCACACTAAGGTCCAAGAGTACACCTCAAAGGTGAGGGAGGTCCATGGGGAAGAATATGATGTGCGCACTGAGCCCATTGATGCAGAGACCATCATGAGGCTAGGAGGAGGCAAGAAGCATGGGCGGCTGTGGATTGCAGACGGCGCCATCGACTCAACCACAGTTCCCTCCCTTGACGTGCTCCAAGCACGGAGCACGAGCTCCAGCCAGCCCATACGCCCACGGCCTACTCCGTCACTACAGCGGGTCGACGCTCTTGAGGTACGTCCTATTTTACTCATCGTACGTTCATCATTGCAGACCTAAGTTACATTTGCATTACTAAAACATTGAAGTTTGTATTGCAGGCCGAGCTGCAGGCCTAGAAGCTCATGGTCGAGGCTCAGAGCACGCAGCTGCAGGCCTAGAGGGAAGCGTTCGCGGCCCAGGAGTGGAGGATGCAAGAAATGGAGGCCTTCATGTGGAGTGTCCAGCAAGGGGGTGTACCTTTGCCGTTGGCAGCTCCTCCACCGCCTACTTCTACAGCCACTCCTGTAAGTATGAAAGTTCACTCTTACTAGATGCTTCCTTGACATACAACCATGGTTGACATACAAACTTACTAGATGCTTGACATAGAAACTTACTAGATGCTTGACATAGAAACTTACTACATGCTTGCACTAGCTATGACATACAACCATGCTTGACATTCTCAATTTACTAGATGCTTGACATAGAAACTTACTAGATGCTTGCACTAGCTATGACATACACCAATGCTTCACATAGAAACTTACTAGATGAATCTCACACATGCAACCTCTTATCCTTTTTGCAGCCTCCGTCGGCAGGTTCGAATAACCCCGCTCATGCGTCACCGAATGATGGAGCCTTTGCTTCACCATCGTGTCATAGGCCGTCTTTTTGAGGAGTTGTGCTTCGTCAAGTGCTTGGACTTGAGCTTCACTTGTGGTTGTGACTTGTGCTTGGACTTGATGGACTGTGGTTGTGAATTTGTGACTTGTGCTTGTGATATTTGACTTGTGGTTGCGATATGTTGTTATTTGAGTTGTGGTTGTGATATAATGTGTGAAAATGGTTTCGTTGTGATATATATGTGATTATTATGATGTTTGTGATATATATGTGACATGTGATGTATATTTGAACTGTTTGTGTCAGTGGAATGCAAAAAACAAAAAAAATTGCAATTTCGGTTGATTTGCCGAGTGCAATGGTCATGGCACTCGGCAAAGCTGGGAAACTTTGCCGAGTGCCAGGACATTGCACTCGGCAAAGATTTTTTTTTAAAAAGCAAAAAATCTTTGCCGAGTACCAAGCTGGGGAGGCACTCGGCAAAGAGCTTTTTAAAAAAATTAAAAAATGCCTTTGCCGAGTGCGCGCCGCCGTGGCACTCGGGAAAGAGTTTAAAAAAAATGTATTTGCCGAGTGCCTTGCCGCCGCGGCACTCGGCAAAGAGTTTTTAAAAAAAAACATCTTTGCCGAGCGCCCTAACTGTCGGCACTCGGCAAAGGCGCCGCCAACAGAGCAATGGCGTTGACGGCTGCTTTTCTTTGCCGAGTGCCGCCATTTGCACTCGGAAAAGGATTTGCCGAGTGCCCGACAAATGGCCCTCGGCAAAGAGCCTCTTTGCCGTTAATTTTTTTCCAAGGGCTCTTTGCCGAGGGCGGTACTCAGCAAAGCCTTTGCCGAGGGCTTTTGGGCCTTTGCCGAGTGCCCTGTGCCCTCGGCAAAGAGGGCGCCTCCAGTAGTGGAACTTGGCCGCCACCATCTCCTCCAGAAGGTCACGGCCTCCAGAGTAACGGTAGGCCAACGCGATGGCTCGATCACAAGCCTCTCATGTGGAATCTAAGCCAGGTGTTACCCATTTCAAAGGCCTCATCTCCGTCATAGTAGAGGCTAGCGGGTAATGAATGGCCTTGTTTCCTTTCATATCCGTAGTGCTTACACTGGAGGTCGTCACGTAGAACCAATACTGCATCCAAACCTTATCCCACTTATTTTTCTAAGTGAAGGAAATATCCAATTTTTCTTCCTTCTGCGCCCTCTTCGCCATGAAGGCGCAACTGCCATATTGAGCTTCTAAGTGTTCCTTGCCCATGGTGATCTTCTTCGGCTGCCGCTGGAGCTCATAGTATTCACAGAAGGTATCCAAATTTGGCACCATGCCATATGACTCACACGCCCAGCAAAACTTACTAAGTGTAAGAATGCCATTGGGCATAAGATGATGAAGTTGTACCTTGAAGCACTCCAGCACCTCTTGAAGAAATCTAATGGCTGGAAATCGAAGACCGCAGGTGAAGAAGTCCTTAAAAACAATGGCCTCATTATCCCTAGGCTTGGGGACCGTCTCTCCACCCAAAGGCCTCCCTTTGCCCTTAGGGAAGCAGCCCTCAGTCTCCAGCTCTTTGATCATTTCCTCAATCATGAGCGGAGGACCGAAATCCCATGACTTATTCATCCTAGTCTCTGCCTCCTCTCCCTTCACCAAATCATTGATAGAAGCTTCAACACTGCCGAGATCTTCTTCAGCATCACGAGCCTTTGCACTAGCAACCATACACTCCTCAAAATACTTAGACCAGTCATCGGCCCTAACACCTAGCAAGCGAGAATATGGCCCGCTGAACGAAGGCCAACGAGAGGACGTACTAGCATAGGAAGCCACTTTCGAAGGCCGTGCACACTACAACTAAGCGAACGCAAAAAGAAAGTGATAGCAGGGAAAGCGATAGCAAATGACTCAACTAGGGAGGGGAGCCTTCACCAACCACCACCTTATATAGCACCCGGATGGGCACATCGACTTCCATTGCCAACGGTCACGTCCGTTCAGCAACATGTCGGTTCCAGAGCCCTCGCAACCAATCAGAGAAGGCCACGAAACAACTTCAGGGTCTGACACAACGCGCCCCGGGGGGAGAGACGGGGGAGCCTTCGTGACCAGATATCAGCGAAGAAGTGAGGTCCATGGCCTGCCTGCGCCAGACCAGACCCTCAGGGTGGAACTATTGGGACACAGATATCCTAGTCGCGAAGGCAGCCCTTTTTATACATTCCCCTCACCATGCATTTGATAGAACGTAACATAATCCAGCCTGTTTTTGATTATTGATGTCTAGGGTAGGAGTCACATCAAGGCCTTCGGATACGCCTGGCCAACCGTGCGAAGGCCACTATTGGGACACGAATGCATGGGTCATGAAGGCTGGACACCAGCTTTCACCAAAAAAGAATAAATGCCTAGTCTGATACATGGACTACTGCAGAAACTTTGTAGGAGCCTTCGCCTATGCCGTCAGGATAGGCGAAGGCACAAGGACCATCGCGAAGGCTCCATCAGCGGAGGCAGCGGAGGTCGCTAGGGGGAAGGCAAACAGATGGATCCACGAGCCGACGTGCAGCGGCGAAGTCAGGCCTTCGCCATCCAGCGAGGAAGCTACCATCATATGCGCATCTTGGACAACAGATGGGCCTCCATTGGGCGCAAGATGAGGCCCATGATGCAAGGTGGTTGATGAAGGAGAAGACCCAGGATGCCCCCGGAGGCTTGCCTATGTACGGGTATAACCTAGGAATATGCCCGTACTATCAAAGGGCATAGATGTAAAGACTCCATTAAGAATAGTAACTTATAAAAGGGGAAGAGAGAACCCCATGTAAAGTGGGAGAGAGGAATAAATGCTATGAAACCCTTGTCCTGAATGGGCCCTGCACTCTATTTGTCACATTCCTAACCATGCCTTCGGCCTGAGCCGAAAGTCCCCAACCATCGTTGGGAAGAGGATCCCAACAATTGCGCACACCCATGTCCTAGTAAGATACAAAATATTGTGTGTGTTTGTATGTTTATTCTGCGTTGAACTATTTTCTAGATTCTAAGCTAACATTTACAATTATTTTGCATGTTATTTCAGAAGCAAACAAATATAAAGATGTGACGCCCACTGCAATCGATCTTTTCAAGGAATTACACTGCAGCAGCAAGACTAGTTTTAATGAGCCCATGAAGGAAGCGATTGTATGTACATGTTCTAAATGGACTGTTTTAGACTTGAAGCTATTTTTGTTGTTTCATTTCTTACTCTAGCTGTGTAGTAGCAGCAACCTACAGTTTGCAGCAGCAGAGCATATATTAAAGTACCTATAATTTGTGCAAAGTTTGTTGCAATTTTGTATCAGCAACCTACAGTTTGCAGCAGCAGCAGCAGCATATATTAAAGTTTTGCTTTCCAGATGATGTCCAACAAAGATTCTACTCAAGTCATATGGGTATACCAACACTACACCTTGAATACTTTTACTAGCAGCATTATAATTTTCTAAAGGCACTTTGCAGAAGATGCCAATCCATTGATACTAGAGCCTGTCCAGCAGAGTAAATAAAATGAACATGCAATAGTACTCAAAATGGCAAAAGAACCAAAGCAGGTTCACACAACTGAACCGTTGTAAGCTGAGAATAGTATAGTTTATCTCTGTAATCTAATCTGAGTTCCACGCTGGTTAGCAAACTCAGCTCAACCTTTAGCTATCTTTTAAGTTCCAGTCTAATAACTTACAGTACTTGCTTAGTGTGCTCCTGCATTACCACATGGCTTCTCCTCATTGGTTATGTCCTTGTTATTTTATTTCTACAAGGCTGCCGAAAGAAGACCCATCTGTTGCTTGTGGGAACGGGGAGAGAACAAATTAATACTATTTTATTTCTGCACCTTTAAGTGAATCACAGAATTTTAATACGACATGATGTTACCATAGTGTAAAGTGGACATGCTACTTATCGACTTTAACAGTTTAATTATGCATACAGAACAGTCGTTTCATGCTACAGGTTCTTTATCAAAAGTTTAATTATGCATATAGAACAGTCGTTTCGTTCTACAGTTTGCAGCAACAGCATATATTAAAGTACCTACACTTGTATACTAATGCAAACTATTTTGCTTATCATGTTAGGGTCAAATGGATATCATGATGGCTCAACCTACACCAGAAGGGGGACAACCAAAGAATCTTGCTGAAGTTTTTGCTCATGTTTTGCCATCAAGTAAATTTCTTCGAAATGTTGGCCTTGAGACAGCAGTCCCCAAGAGAAGTGCTATTGCTGCTGCAAGTGTACAAGAGCTGGAGGTTGAAGTTGCGGCCAAGAAGCAAGTGCTGCAGCACTTAGAGATCAACTTCATGGCCAGCAGGATGAGTTGGAAGCATTGAAGAAAAAGGTTGAGGAATCAGAGGAAGCAAGGGAGAAGAGCTGGAGGTTGAAGTTGCGGCCGAGAAGCAAGTGCTGCAGCACTTAGAGATCAACTTCATGGCCAGCAGGATGAGTTGGAAGCGTTGAAGAAAAAGGTTGAGGAATCAGAGGAAGCAAGGGAGAAGCAGACAGAAGAGATTGGAAATTTGAAGAAACAAGCAGATGAAACAAATGCTCTTCTTCGTCGGTTGTTCACGTTGAACAAGGACTAGGTCACTCCTTACCTTTTCCTTTTATCCTACTGATCGTTATGCATGGCCTTAACATGGCTTGGATATGTGGCTGTTTATTTTGGTACATGGCTTGGACCTGGTAATGCTTTGGATGTCTTTGTTTATTTGGTAATGGCTTGGATATGTGGCTGCTGACTTTGCTGCATGGGATCTGGTAGTGACTTGGACTTGAGGTTCATGTATTTTGTGTTGAAGTTTGACATGTCAAAATTATTTAAACATGTAACTTTGAATGGATCAGATTTGCCAAATGATGTAATGAATGTGAGCATTTTAAATTTGTTTGATGGTTCAATTGATTGTCATCTTCAATATGCTGCAATGGTTTGTATATTGTTCAATGGACTTCATGTGTATTATGGGCAGCAATGTGCCACGTCAGTATCACATATGACAACAGTATTTGATGATGCCTTTTTATCCTACGTGGCACATGCATAACCATCTGTGGTCATTTTTTGCGATGTTTTCTCTACATGATAATGACGAAAATCGAGCATCGTAAACTAACGACGCAAGTATGAACGTCGCAAAAATTACGACGAGAATATCGTTTCCGTTGCAGAACACCTTTAGCTATGGAAAATAGGCGACGAGTGAAATTTCATCGCGCGTGCATCATAAATTGTGAAACACGACGCAATTTTGAGATTCAACGACATAAACACAACGTCGTAGAAGATTATAGCCCTTGTAGTGACTGTCAGCTTCTTATTGATGAGGACATAACACCTTCAGATACAACCATTGATTATAAGGTGAGCTCGTTCCTACATTTGCATAATGCTAAAACTAAGAATTGGTTGCTACCTAATATTGGTATGTCAAATGTGCTTAGGAACAATGGCGATGATGATAATGGATATTCCATGAACAAGACCAATCTCAATGTGCAAGCTCATCAAAGTACAACATTCGGTTCGTCGGCAGCCTAACAGTGCTTCATTGGGAAGAACATAACTCATTCATCCGGAGTGCGATTGAGGTCAATGAGCACTTAATAGAAAGCTTATTTGATAAGCTTTCAAATAGATCTGGTCCCACCTCAATGTCACCTCGGTAAGGCCTCCAAATCATGAAGATATTCTCTCGCTGTTTCTGCCAGGAGCTACGTCATCGTCATGGACATGTTATTCATCCATGGGTCCCTAGCCCAAGTGGGAGCACGCCCCAAGGAGATGGAGAACACATCAAGGAAGCCCTTGGACGTCCTCCTCCTTGGCCACCTCCTTAGGAGGCCAGCAAGGACGTCCAAGCTAAGCCGGAGGCCCGGTCCAACTCAAGTTTGAGTCTGCCTCGGCCTTCAGGACCAGCCTGCAGTAAAACGGACGCCCAGGATGCATTTGGACACCGTTTTCTACGATCCATATATAGATCTAAAGATAGTTTTATAAACTAACTAATGGCTTTGGTTTGAAGTCCAAATTCAACATAACTCAACGGGAATTGTCGAAACAATTTAGCATCTAGAATCTATCAAGGTGTTGTGTCACCGTCTTTGGTCCGTTGGGCCATGTATCATCTTTGAGCCTTTTAGGGGGGGCGCGTCCTGGGGGAGCGACAACCCTTAGACCTTATATTCAGTCGCTGTGCTATCATTAAGGTTTGGGGTTTTGCTTTAGATCAACCTATCATTGAACAGTCGCCGTTATCGGTTTGTGAAACCCCACATTCAATATCTTAATCATATATCTGCAATTGTCACTATACTTGAGTTGCATGTTATCTTGTTCTTGCTTGTTTTTTTTGATTCATAGTAGGGATTAGCCTTCTTGGCAAGGTCAACCGAATTATGACACAGTTGATAACCAGAGGAGATGTGGTGCTAAGGTTGCAGGGTTCGGGTTTTTGTGATCTGAAGCCGGATCGGTGTGTCGCGCTCCGACCAAATCGATAGTTATCTTGAACCTGATGGAAGATCGGGATCCCCGTCCCCATCAAGTGGTAATCAAAGCTTCAGGTATACCTTCAAGTTCACATTTATCCTATAGCTTGAGTGTTTTGCCTTCATCCCATAGTCCACCGCCATATTTGTTTCCTGTCCTAGAACCATCCGTGCCATAGCCTTTGCATAATCCAGTTTCAGACATTATTTCACCAAGACCTATAATACGAGCAATCCCATCCCCCACTTGCACTACGCGACCGATATTCTCAATCCCTACTTTCCTATTATATTGTTCAATACGTTCGCGGAGAATTTTATTAATTTCGTCGACTCGAAGGGTTGCCATTAATGTTTCTTTAATTTTTTTTGGAAGCAAGGGAAAAATAATGCCTAAATTCTAAACAAAAGTAGAAGTTCAAAACCTAATAAATTTAATTATCTCTTCCATTCTATGGCCCCGAGAATGCCAATATTAGCATGAATCGTACGGAAATGTAACTCGGTATTCAAACAACTATTCAGAGTTCCTAGAGCTCCTTGTACAGCTTGTTGGAAAACCCGTTGTCGGACCTGATTCATCGCCCTTTGTTTTTCAAAATAAAGGGTTTCGTTTTTTAGACTTTTCTAATTGTTCCAAACTAATAGAAGTAGCCTTAATCAAATTTTCTTTTTCTCGTTCTATTTCAGAGTATCCATTCATTTGATACTCATCTGCTTCTAGTTCGACTTTCTGTACGCCGTGTTGAATTTGTGTCCTAGGTCAAGGTCTTGTTGCTAGTTTAGATCGTGTTTGAGTCTAGTTTGTGTGATCTCCCGCTGTTTTCCATCAACCCTAGCCATCACCACCAAAAATCCTCATCTTTTGTCGACGTAAAACCCTAATTTGAGTGGATTCCTTAAAACAGTCATAACTTTTGCCACTACTACACAAAAACTTTTACAAGGCGTTTGGCTTTTGGGCTTCGAGGTGGTTGGGCCGGTTGCCGGTCTCCGATATTCATTGGCCAGGCAGCCGGCCCAGCAACCGCCTCAGTTATTGAATAACGGAGGTTGCCGGTACAAGGCAACCGCCTTAGTTAACATACGATTAACCGAGGCGGTTGCCATTATGCTGCCCACCTCGGTTAATCCTGGGCTATAAATGCAGCCGCACCACCCTTCTTCGTCATGTCACTACAAGGTTTTCCCCCTGATGCCATGGCCTAAAAGTGTTGCAATAGACAAAATTGCAACGCAAAAAAGGGTTGGGTGGCGTTGCCACTGTAACCGTAGTCTAAAGTTTGCACCACGGTTCATTTTCGTGTTGCACTAGGTTTTCCCCTATTGCAACACAATGGAGTTTTGTTGCAACACTATGGAGTGTTGCAAGCCATAGTACAAGCAACCACCATGGGTATTGCAATCGTAACTATTCCAACACACCCGGCGTTGCCAGAGATTCCTGTTGCCACAAACCCAAAGAGTAGCAATAGGTGCACTAGCAATGACAATGGGTGTTGCCATAGACCTTATTGCCACACATCAATAGCATTGCAATAGATGGACCCTCTATTGCCACGCTATCTCTGTGTTTGCTATAGCTGGAACCGTCTATTGCTATGAAAAATATTTGATTGCTACAGGTGACCTCTCTATTGCCACACTATCTCTGTGGTTGCTATAGGTGGAACCCTTTATTGCCATGACAAATATTTTGGTTGCTAGAGATGGCCTCTCTATTGCCACACTAAACATTGTGGTTGCTATAGGTGGAACCCTCTGTTGCCACAACAAAAGTTCGGTTGCTAGAGGTAGCCTCTCTATTGCCACACTAAATATTGTGGTTGTATAGGTAGAACCCTCTATTGCCACGACAAATGTTTGGTTGCTATAATTTGACCTTCTATTGCCATGCTTACTATTATGTTGCTATATTTTGGTGACTCTATTGCCACGCCCACTGTTTCATTGGTATGAAGTTCTGCCACACCGTTTGTTTGTTGCTATAGCATATATTGCAACGCCAAATGATTATGCCGATAGTCGATATTGCAACGCTTTGTTTGGTAGCTTCAAACAATAGTTGCACGCCGAACAATATATGATGAATGAAGCATTTAGACATCCGTTAAACCAGAATATGCTTTATTCGTACCAATCATTAATGAAACCATCCAATGTCAAACTTAGTCGATAACACACGCACAACTGAAACACACAAGGTATCCGATATAGACTAGCTAGTTTGAACACATCAAAATGTAACGAGCTAAGTAGCACTGCAGCAAAGGTTGGCTTGATGTTGATCATCCCATCAATCGTACACTCCACTCAAACTCTATCTTGCTCCTAAAAAGAATCAATAACAATTGGTATATGCATCAAGTAAACTAAAATTGTATTATTTTGTCAACGGCAGCATGGACTCAACAAAGTAAGCAATTTGGAATCTTAAACTAAAGACTAACAGGTTTGCAAATTTGCATAATCATTAAAAAGTAAAATTCCCCATGAAAAGGCTATGTGATCAATTTTTCCTTACAGCCATGGTTATTTTGCTATCAGCTGCTAGGCTTAATGGAATGTACCCAACAACAATAACAAATTTGCAACATATAGCTTGTTCTAAATACCTTAGCGCCCTGCTCAATTGCTACTTAACTATGCAATACAAGCATAAAATTGGCATATTAATAAAATAGACAAACTCATCCATGCAAAAAATCTTGGGCTACAACATGGTCCTGAACGATACTACGAAAATTAGGTAACATTACTATAAAATTATCTTATAGAATCTGGAAAGCTGATCAAAACTTGCAGCATGGATTAACAAACATAGACACTTGATGCTTGATGG